CTATTTTTAACTGTTTTAAATTCATTTTAAACTTCTTAAATCAATTGTTTTAATCATTTTCAATGTTTTTAAATTCCTTGTTTTATTGTTGTGATTATTTTTTTTTCTTTTCTTTTATGTAAAGCACTTTGAATTACCATTGTGTATGAAATGTGCTATACAAATAAACTTGCCTTGCCTTGCCTTGCCTTCAAAATATTATTAAAAACTATAATATCTCAGTGATGCTATAATAACACTGGCATTACGGCAATGACTAGCTATATCTTTAAAATGCATTGACATACTAAATAAATATGTGTATACAATGTGGAAATCATTTGGTATTAGAAATTGACCAATATGTATTTTTACTTTATTTATTTATTTATTTATTTATACAGCTGATACAATAACAAGAACAGACAATAAAGTTTTTTTTTTTAGTTTTTTTAAATGCTTATATTATGAAAGTACAGAGCCAATTTGAATCAATATTGGTAAAAAGTAGAAATAAAACTATTATTAGAAAAAAAAAAAAATGAGTTATATGTATTGTAAATGAGTTACATGTATTGTATATGTATACTAGTTGGGTAAATTCAAATATTAAATAATGAGTGTGTTGCTGGCTGCTGTTCATCACACGCCAACCACACATTGCCATTTATCGTTTGAAAACCAATGATCTCTAGTAGTATCTGATACAATCACTATACATCGGTCCCACCACTGCAAGTAAGAGAGCAGCATGGTTGCACACACAAATGAATCTCATGAACAGCCGGATATTTAGCGAACGATTCTTTGTGTGTGTTCATGATCCTGACCCGTGTCTCCCTGACCTCTAGGTGGCACGCAGATGGGGCAAGAGGAAAAACAAGCCCAAGATGAACTACGAGAAGTTGAGTCGCGGTCTGCGCTACTACTACGACAAAAACATCATCCACAAGACGTCCGGCAAGCGCTACGTCTACCGCTTTGTGTGTGACTTGAAAAGCTTGCTGGGATACACTCCCGAAGAGCTCCTCACCATGTTAGACGTCAAGCCCGACTCGGATGAGTAAACTTCGGACAAAAGTTTGGGAAAAAAAAAAAAAGGCTGAAAAAGTCCCTCACAGACCCTGGAAAAGAAAACGGGGCGACCATTTTCGGGTCCAATCACATTCCATCTTAACACTTAGTCGTGGTCCAGTCTTGTGTTGAGCTCACATGGGAAGGAAACAAAAGAAGCATCGGGACATTTACCAAAGTTTAGAATCCGTAGACTTTGCGCGTCTGTATTGTTTATAGCTCTGCAGGAAGGGAAAACTCTAAGTTCTGTTTTGACCCAGTAGCACAAACACCAGGAAGGAACAGAGGACAATTAGATGGACATTTCTTGGACTGAATGCTCCTGTTATTAAACACGTTGCCAAAATTAGAGACAAGAGGAATATCGCGGAAATATTTACGATTGAGTTACATACTGTTTCTGTCTCCTCGCATACACAACCACGAGGAAGAGTTCTCAGCCGGACCAAAATAACAAAGGTTTTTTATTTGTTTTGATAGTTTCTTAAAGATCTATATGTGTCAGTATTAATTTGTTGTATTGCGATGCTGTCCGGACAGAGATTGCACCATTTTGTACATTTCCATATGAAGGTTTATTGAAGTCAAACTGTGCTTAGATAGTCTCTCCGCTTCTTTTAAGGTCACGGTCGGTTACGGCTTGTTCTTACCACAGTGTCCATAGCTGAAAACGCAGTTTTTGATCACCAGATCAAAATAGACACCAGAGTACCGCCCTTTTCAGTTGAAAGAGACGTACCTCAGTCAAACTGAGAGTGTGAGTGAGAGACGCAAATGAAAGCGGCCGTTGGCTTCTCAACGGTGACACGCTTGTGGTGAAAACGAGGTGTCGTTTTATCACTTGTATTAAGACAAAAGACATCAAACATTTCTTGCCTCGGTTTCTTTGTACGTGAAGGGTTTTTGCCAAAGCTTTGCCTTAATATAGCACATTGCGTTTATGAACTTACCGTGTTTTCTCAAGGTTGACTGAAACGTGTGGGTTGGTGACAACTGAAATGTCACTCAACCGGGCCTCAAACGGTTCGCTGGCAGCGCTAGAAGCCATAAAGCCGAGACGTTTGAGAAGAGCGATGTGAGGCCTTTTAACTTTGAGACAGACGTGGCGGCGTTAGCCATGTTGAAAAGTGCACACTTCAGCATGCGTCTGGATTGGCAAAGTACGTGAGATGGATTCTGCAGCAGAAACCAAGGCTCCGTTGGGCTGCGTTTGATTTTCCTGATGGTTTGTGAAAGTGTTACCGTTAGTGGCTGATATAATGTTAAGATTGGAGGAAGACCAGATCGTGCTGAGACTTTGGGCAGCTTTAAAGATGATGATGTGTGCTGCTACTGGCTAACAAGCGTCACAAGATCATAACCGAAAATGGGAGTACGTTTCAGAATGGTTCGTTTAACTGCAGTATTATGGACTATTTTAGTCATTGCAGGGTGTAACTTAAGCCAGTGTTATATTACAGTGTCCATGAAATGAATAACGTACTTTAAATTTAGCTATTTGGAGAAACTGCACATGAAATGTCAAATCTGTTACCGGTATTTTCAATACTTTACAGGTTAAAAAACCGAATGGCAGCAACATTCAGTTTGTGTTTTCTTCAGCACAGCATTTCAGTCTGTGGGAAGTGTCTCGAACACGAGACCTTGTGGGAAAAGCCAAAGTAAAGAACGTTGATCTAGGAAAACAAATCGTATTGTTTACAGTGGCAGAACGCTACCCATCCTGATTGGTGTAGCTTTGGAATTGTCTATTTTTACAGATAACATTTCATAAAACGGCTAGATTAAACCATAAACTGGGAACACATTCATGAGAGCTCAGAATAAAAGTCTTTAATTCAGAGATGAGCGGGTTTCAGTCGCAACCGTCCTGCCGTGAACAGCAACAACAAAAGTGCTACATCACCTGAACAATCAGTTTGTAGTGTTAAAAGTCTCTTTGGAATAACAAGAAGAAAGCGTGAGTTTGTTAAAACCACAAAAGATAGCCAGCATGACTTTTTTTTATTATTATTATTTGACAAGGTCCAAATCATAATGTAGTCTTTGCCTTGATTATAAAAGTGGTGCATTTTGTGTGAAAATGAACACTTTTGACAGATACATACATGCATATTCATATTGACGAGTGTTGTTTTTATTTCCCCACAATTTTGCCTTATTTTGTATATTTTATATTTCTGTTAAAATGAGAATTTTAATGTATTTAGTTCACAGACATTTTGATATTTTTCAATAATTTATATTTTATAAACTTTGAAACATGAGATGCAGACAGCTGGTGCTTTCGTGGGGGAATAAGGTAGCGCAGGACAAAATGTAGCGAATTTTCTTTTATATGAAAAAAAAAAAAATGTAAGGAATTTCAATACCTGTCTGCTTATACAGTTCTGTATAGATAAGGCTGATGCTGGCCCATCATTATGTTCCGCTGGAGAATTTTATAAACAGTAGCTTCTATTTCTTACTGTACTTTAAATTGTTATGTTATTAAAATATATGTGGAGAAAATGATTCATGTGTGTCTTTGTTATTTCAAAATTAATCTTACGGCAATAATTCTGAATCAAAGTAGCATGAAGGAAGACACACCCAACCCAACGCTCGCACAAACACAGGTATGAAGTTGCAAACGCATGCAACTATCACCTTGCTCTCTCTGTGCAGCTCTGCAGGCTTTGCGGCAGATTTGTGGTTTTGTTTATTATGAGTCTTGGTTAAATGAGCAGCTCGTTTCTTTCATTGCTAATCATCATAAATACCACAGCTGCAGTTTTTCATCGAGCAAAAGATTCTCACACTTAAGATTAGCGCGCGGCGCCTTTGGCCGTCATATGTCAGGGCTTTACATGCACCACGGGCTCTTCTGAGGAAGGGGACGGGAATATGTAGTGCAGCGACGACCCTTAATAAAGGCCCCTGACGTAAGAACTAAAACGGGCACACTGAGTCCATTCATGTAACCTCACAGTACAATAAATTACAAATGGCAAGAGCCGTCTCTTCTTTTTATGACTGTCTGTCCTCTCTGTCGAGATCCAAAGGTGCTTTCTTGACTATACAGATATGGGTTTATACTGCCAAAGCATAAAAATACCATACGTACAGTGGGGTCCAAAAGTCTGAGGCTACACACTCAGAATAAAAGGTACAAAAGCTGTCACTTTCAAAAGGTACTAATAAATACTTTTAAAGTACTAATGTGCAGCTTTAAGGTATTAATATGTATCATTTAGGGGTAAATAAAGTACAAAGATGTACCTTTTAACTTTTGGACCTTAGAGTACTGCCACAGTAATAGCTTTTTTTTTTTAATGTGTGAGTCAAAATCTAATTTAAACCAAAATAAACTGAGTTTTATGATTTTAACCAATGCAAAACGAAAGAAATGTTGACATAAAATGAATAAGTCGCTGATCAAATAAGTACATTTGTGCATATCATGTCACTGCTTCATACAGATGTTCAGCTGTTCTTGCTTCCATTGCTTACTAAAAAGAAAGAGAGAAAAAACAAATACTAAGACATTTTGAAATGCAAGTTAATGTTTTAATTATGCTGTTTATAAGCATCTTTTGCATATATGTGAGTAGGTTATGGATATGCATTGCAATTGCATTTTTATGCACATATAAATTATTGGAAATTTGGTGTTTTCTTCACAGAGGTCGCTGCGATTATTATAAGTTTTAGAAATTTCTACATGTATCCCCTTTTTCTGGGAAATATTCTTACTTATCAAAGATTTGTACCTTAAGTTGTCCATGCCCGCTTTTCAAAATTGTTCCTACACTGATGCATTTGAACTTGGCGGGGATTCACCAGGTATGAGTAATAGATTTCACAATTTAGCTGAAAATCTTTGTACGGGTCTCACTTCTGTGGAAAGAAAGAGTCAGTGGTTTGTGCATAATCAGAAAAGTCACTTTTTTGACCTTGTTATTTTGTGTGCACTATTTGCATATACTATTGTCTTTTGGTAACTAGGTCTGGAAATGTCTGTGTTCTGAGTCGATAAATAGTGTTAGTCGGTCACGGTGGTCAGATATTCTGTCAATCAGCATTTTTTATTTAGACACATATCATATTCCAGTATGCATCCAGTATGTGTAGATGCAGTTTCTGTCTTTTACATTTGCACATACGGCATCCAAAACATTCTGTCCAATTCAATGTGGAGTTGGGGGGACCAAAATACTTGGTCTCATATATATATATATATATATATATATATTCAATATGTTGATTATGAATATATTTAAATTCATGAGGCTCTAGGTAATGTTGGTCTGAGTGAGATCAATGAAACATTAGCAGTGCATCACTTCTCAAGGCAAAACACTGCAGGTGAATAGGGTCAACATGTTAACTAACAGATAACTAATTATGCATGCACTCATTTTCATTCATTCTCAGAATAGAAATCTAAAAACCTAAAGCAAGTTTCAAAATGCTTGTTTCATTTTGTTGACATATTAAATGTTTTTACAGATGGGATTCAACATATTGAAGTTTTCAACATATTGAAAGAAGTTATAGAAGCAAAATAGCTTAAAATTGACCGGTGCATGAATGATTTTGGCTTAAACGTTTCATTCTCCTAATGTCCACAACGGACTACACACAAGCACACGATGTTCAAGGTCCGTGTGTTCTAGACATCATTCAGCACTAGTACGTTCACGTTTGCAGGTGGTTCCTCTCTTGCCTTCACCTTTGTCTGCTTTAGATCCGCATGTCATCACACGCTTCACCCATACACACACTAGTGCACTTTACATCATCACTTGTTTATAAAGAATCTGATCTTGCTAAAAATAATGCATTTAATGGGTACATTCAATATGCATATAATTATAAATATAACATGAAGTCGATTTTTGTGAGTTTGTTTGGGAGTCATATCTCTTTTTTTTTTTGCACTATGCAGTTGAAAAATGCTGAAAATGGTTGTCAGGTTACACAAACACGGTGTATCTGTGGGTTTGAAGGCACCTACAGTTGGGGATTTCAAAAGGGTAATTTTCATATCTGACTGAGGTAATTTTCCATTACGGTTGAGTGAAAAAAACGAAAGAAAGGCAGAGAAAGAAAGAAAGAAAGAGAGAAAAAAAAAACCTCTTTGCAAGTGCAAAAGTGTCATAAGTGGTGAAGTTAGGTGATGTCCTACGCCTGCAGACTGTTGAAGAATTTCTCTCTCTCTCTAGTACACACACACACACACACACACACACACACACACACACAGCTTCAAAAGGCAGAGAAAGAAAAAAAAAACTCTTTGCAATTGCAAAAGTGTCATAAGTGGTGAAGTTAGGTGATGTCCTATGCCTGCAGGCTGTTGAAGAATCTCTCTCTCTCTCTCTCTAGTATGCACACACACACACACACAGAGAGAGAGAGAGAGAGCTTCAAGCGTCCTATGCAGGAGATGTGTGTGGAGTCTGAGCACAAATATTTATGCTAAAGTCTATGGCTGGCCTCAGCTGTCTCCTGCATCCTACTACCATCAGAGCACAAGCAGACAAATGCCCCAAAAACTCAAAATAAAAGTGAGTGAATTTCTGCGGCATCAGCAGTAAACAGGATTGCAAGTATAATGACTATTTTAAAGTTTCAATTCGGAGTAGTGCGTGCACATAACTAGAAACATAACTAGTTATACAAACATAAACATATAAACATAACAGGTGCTCGGTCAAAAAGAATCAAAATTAAAAGAATCATAATAATAATAAAAAAAAAAACACACAATTTTATGTTTGGGTCAAACGTAATATATTAAAAGAATAGTTCACCCAAAAATTATTTTATTTTTTTCTGAGAAATTATTCACTATCAGGACATCCAAGATGTAGATGAGTTTGTTTCTTTATTGGAACAGATGTGCAGAAATGTAGCATTGCATTACTTGCTCAGCAATGGGTCCTCTGCAGTGAATGGGTGCCGTCAGAATGAGAGTCCAAACAGCTGATAAAAACATCACAATAATCCACACCACTCCAGACCATCAATCAACATATTGTCAATTGAAAAGCTGTGTGTTTTGTAAAAAACAAATCCATCAAGATATTTTTAACTTCCAACCATTGCTTCAGGCCAAAATACGAGTTCATAATCCACAATAACGCGGATAACCACAATAATTGGACTCTCATTCTGGCGGCACCCATTCACTGCAGAGGATCCATTGCTGAGCAAGTGCTGTACTTGCAGTGGCTCTGGTGATATTATCATGGTGAGTTTCTCCAGTTCTGAATGCGGAAACTGAATCTGAATCTTTCAGAATCTGACATTGGATTGGATTCAGTGCAAATTGAAAAGCTGTGTGTTTTGTAAAAAACAAATCCATCAAGATATTTTTAACTTCCAACCATTGCTTCAGGCCAAAATACGAGTTTATAATCCACAATAACGCGGATAACCACAATAATTGGACTCTCATTCTGACGGCACCCATTCACTGCAGAGGATCCATTGCTGAGCAAGTGCTGTACTTGCAGTGGCTCTGGTGATATTATCATGGTGAGTTTCTCCAGTTCTGAATGCGGAAACTGAATCTGAATCTTTCAGAATCTGACATTGGATTGGATTCAGTGCATGTAAACACACCTAATGACATCTGACTGAACTTCTGCATGATTTTTATGCCACTTCCATCTGGTCCTGTCAGTGGCTATCTGTGCTCCAAAACCCGATCGTATTGTGATAAATTAACTCACAAAATGTGCCATGTATCCCCGTGAGGAGATGGAGAGAGAGATGGCCCTCATGACGCATGTTAAGCTCCTCTCACTGGTTCCATTACGCCACAGCTTGTGAAATACAAGCCCATTCCTGGTTCCCCAATGTCCTCTTCATAACAGCACTTTCTATTCTGGGCTCATTGTCCTGAACGGTCGAATCTGGTTCGGGTCAATATTACCAGGGATCAGTAACACTGTCTTGGGACTTCATTACAGCCCCATAAGTGAGCCTATTGGACTATCAGTGTCTGATCTATCTCTATTCTCATGGTTTCAGTGATGACTCATGATCTGCTTGCAAGTTATCTTTATTGTAACCCATTTACTGTAAACCGAGGGGTAAGGGTGCCAAATGTTTTTTTTTGTTTTAGTTTTTTCATCTGG